AGTTTATAGCCCCATTCTTAGGAATCAGATAGTCGTTGAGAAGAAAATCCTCTGAAACTGCATGTGGCAACACAAAATATCCAGGTGGATGCCGCCTTAGTCCCTCCAAAACTACAGCTTTCAGATATGGCAATCTCATCAAATCTTCCTCTCTCACTTTTGTTTCCTTATTATCTCTCTCACCCACCGCATCTCTTATTTCCTTTCCAAGCTTTTGTTGGATTTTGGGTACTTCACCAAATTTGCCAGAATCCATTCTAAGGCCGTCGCTGTTGTATCACTTCCTGCAATCAATATTTCAGAACATATAGAAACAAGTTCATCTTCATTAAGCTTTCTTTTCTCATCTGGTAGCTGCAAATCAAACAGTGTATCCACGTATGAAACCACAGCTTCATTGGCTTTGTTCAAAGTTTCCTCCTTTGCTATCTTTCGCTCTTATTAATGGAATCAAAACATCTTCTTGTTTCTTCCCGATTTGGTACAGTTCTTTCCCAATTTATGAAACCAACATATACGAGTGAGACTTGGCCAGAAATTTAGCTTGTTGAAGCCGTGCAAGTTCAACATTAAACGACGCTGAACATCTTCAATCTCCTCGATTTTTTTGTCGTTTGATCCTTCACCGAAGCACATGGACACCAGTAAAAACAAAACATAGCACGTCGAAGATGGTCAATAACCGTAATGGATTTTCCTGATTCTGAGTCAGATTTGAGGCGATCGAGGAAAGTGGCTACCAACCGGTTACGAGTACCTGAGAAGGATTTGATTCGGGTCGGGTTAAGAAACTCGTGGATGAGTTACGACGGAGCAAGCGCCAAGTGGGACCGTAGAACCCAGAGCTGATGTTATGTTGGTTACTGTTGAAGATCTTACTGGTGGCGAGGGTGTTTGGGGCGGTCGGAGAAGACGGCGGCGTTCTGAATAAGGGCTTGGTGGGCGAGAGATCGATTGGAGATGATATAGCAGAACGAGAACCGACTTGGAGAGAGATGATGGGGGCCATATTTGGCATGAAGATTTCGAAGAATGGGTTCAAGTTCTGAGAATGGTTTGCGCCAAAACCGAAGAGAACCGATGAGAGGAACACGAGGAGGGCCGGGGGGAGAGGAGGGGAGTGAGAGGGAAAGAGAAAATTGAAGAAAACTCTGAGGACAAGACAGAGACAGAGGGAGAAGACGACGATGACCAAAACTACCTCCATGATCGAGAAGGGAGAAGAACTCGTGAAATTTTGAGAGAAAATATAGAGGGAAAAGTCAGAACAGTGGTGGATTGAAAGTCGATGATTTTCAGATAACGTTTGGACAGCCGACGGCCGACTATTATATTGATTCGAAAGGTCAGTGTTTTGTTTTTTGTTGTTCTCAATTCCTTTTCGTTGAGATCTGAGATGCTCCGATCGTTGAAAGGACCATGAATTGTCTGTGATATGGTATCGGACTGGCTCAGCTTCAAAGCAAGTTAATTACGGCGGCAAATGTCGTACGTGTTCATTTGGGTCCAGCATGCGTAGATTGCTAATTTATTAAAATTTTTACTTTATTTTGCCTTTTCAACCTTGCATGATTCGATATTAATATTGTTATGTTAAATTGTTTTTCAACGTTCTCAAATCAGAGATCCGATGCTTAGTCATATATCACTTTTCTTTTTTGGTAGTAAGAAGTTTAGGTGAGTTGGGTCCCGAGAGCTCATCAAAATTAGGGCATGCTTCCAGGCTCAGAAAGCGCTTATAGAGGTACTTACAGATCGTCTACCAACAAGATCAACGTATCGGTAGTGGGATTTAAACTCACGACCTTGTAGATTATGAGCCGACTCTTTAACAACTGGACTAACTTTTATTCGTTAGTTATATATCACTTTAATTCGTATTTGTTATTTATAAAAAAAAGATTTTTCCTTTTTATTTCTTATTAGTATTCTTTTTAATACTTTATTCTCAATTTTATCCTTATTAATTATAGTAAAAGTGAAGAGAGAGTGAATGGGTAAAATAAAAGTATATTAGTATTTAATACTCTCCATGATAAGGGTAAAAGTAGAAGATTCAATCTATTTGATAATATTATTGGCATGTGAAAAACTACTACAAATGACAAATAATAAGAACCAGGGTAGTATAAGCTTTTTGTAATTTTTATGCTATTATTTTTTAATGTCTATATATATATCATATTATTGACTATTATATGAAAACATCATTTACAATATAAGTGGATTCGTAAATTTTAAAAAATCTCAATAGAAGAGAAAATATTTTCTAAGAAAACGTTTGTCATCAGGTAAATATTCTTCTATCATAATAAATTATTGAATATGAGATCCAATAACTGCCAACCAAATTTGGACAAAATTTGTCATCATATTAAAGAAAAATGAGTCCTTAAGCGAGATTTTTAATTTTGCAATAAATCCAGAAATCTAGTTGTCATACTGCGCAAGTTTAAACTTTTTTTTTTTTTTGAGTGAAAGACGCAAGTTTAAATTTTAACTTTTAAATTAAGTAACGATGATTAACGTCATGAGCTACCACTACTCCACTAGGTTCCTTTTGTTGACTGAGAGGCCGCTGCTCCAATTTGCTAGCACTGCTCAAATATGCTTTTTTTTTTTTCCGTCTGCAACAAAAACAAATATAATTCTTTTTATAGGAATAAACAAGTATATATCAGAAAATTACAAACCAGAAAATAATACTCTTCCACTTCTAAATATAAAACTCATTTTGTAGTGTAAATAATTTATAAAATGAGTCTTATATTTAAAACCGGGAGAGTAATATAATTATGTGTATCATGTGGTGGGATTGGCAAGATCTTATTAAAGCTGAAGAAGCTGGAAACAACCATCTTAGTAATTACTCAGAAATTTTCTGGTAGCTAGATACCAAACTGAGTAAATTTATTTAACACTATACGCTAGTTGTAAGTCATATGACAAACCTCATGCTAAACACAATCAAATGTCCTAAAACTTTGATAATGATACTTGTCTGTGCAGGGTTAAAACCTTGGAGATATCTGAACTTGTAATGGAGTCTTCATTACCACAGTGAATTCTTGTTTCTCAGATAAATCTACATCACCATCATCACTATTTGAGACCTTCCACTGAAAATTCCAAACCAGATTAGCCACAAAGTACTCCAAATGAAACATGGCCAGATTATAAGCCGGGCACATCCTTCTCCCAGCTCCAAACGGCATCATCTTTATCTCTTTGCTTCCTGTAATATCAAATGTTTCATAATTATTCTCACTATTCAAGAATCTCTCTGGCCTGAACTCCATTGGATTCTCCCACACCTTTGGGTCCCTTCCCATCTCTGCTAACAAAACGTTTATAATTCCATTTTTAGGTATTAAATAATCATTCAACACTACATCCTCTGTTACTGCATGTGGGATCACAAAATGTGTGGGTGGATGGCGCCTTAGTCCCTCCAAAATCACAGCTTTAAGATATGATAATTTGTTCAGATCCTCCTCTTTCAATTCCTTCTCCTTTCTTTCACCGATCACATCTCTCATTTCCTCCACAAGCCTCTCTTGTATATGTGGATGCTTCACCAGATTTGCCATAATCCAATGCAATGTCGTCGCCGTTGTATCTATCCCGGCACTTAGAAACTCAGAACTTATGGCTACGATTTCAGATTCTTCAAGCTCACGTTTCTCCAGAGGCCACTCCAATTCCAGCAAAGTATCAACGTAAGGCACAGCAAGTTCCTCTGAGCTTTTCACTCTGTTCATTCTCTCTTCTTTGGCTTTCTTCCTCGCTCTGATCAGTGGGATGAAAAGATTTTCCCGTTCCTTCTTAGTCTGCAACATTTCCTGCCACCTCTTGAAAAACAGTATGCTGGTTAGTCTTGGCCAGAAATCCAGCACCCTGAATCTGTTAAAGCTCATAATTACACGGCGTTGAACATCGTCGATATCTTTGATTTGTTCCTCATCTAGCTTTTCACCGAAGCACATGAAACCCATCAAGCAGAACATAGTGTATTGAAGATGGTCAATCAACTTGATAGAATTGCTTGATCCAGCATCAGACTTGAGCCGATTGATAAGAATGTCCAGGACCCATTTACGAGAACCTGAAAAGGATTTAATCCGGGTCGGATGAAGCATCTCGGAGGTGAGGTTGCGGCGGAGGGCGCGCCATGTGGGGCCGTAGAAGGCGGTGTTAATGTCATGCTGAACACAACTGAAAAACTTAGTAGCGATAACTGGCTCAGGGCGGTCGGAGAAAATGGCGCCGTTTTGAACAAGGGCTTGGTGGGCGAGAGAATGATCAGCGATATATATAAGTGGACGAGACTTAACAGGAAGAGTGAAGATGGGACCGTATTTGGCACGAAGATCTCGGAGTAAAGATTCAATTTCTAAGATTGGTCTGCGAAGAAAAAGAAGATTGGTGATGATGGGAATACGAGGAGGGCCAGGTGGTAGCAGAAGAGTGGGGCGAGAGGAAGAAAGAAGATTGAAGAAAGGTCGAATGGTTAGGCAGAGACAGAGAGAGACGAGGAGGACGAACCAGACTTCCATGGTTAGGAATGAAGAAGGTGATGGACGAGTAATGAAGTGGGAAAACCTCAGCGAGATGCCGGAAATTTAAAGGGAGGAACATAATTAGTGACGTTATCTAGAGAGGTTGGAACACAGAACAAGCTAGTCCAACTTTGAATCTTTACGTGACCTCCAAGCTATCGATTAAATAAATTACTTGTTTCTCCAAAGAATTTTCTCTTAGGGGTGTTTGAATGAAACTAAACTATAATTTAGAGAATAGTTTCTGAAGAATTGATTCGAATAGATTTTGTGAAGAAATAATTTTAATAAAGTGAAAGTGTTTGGATAGTTGTTATCAGAAACACTTTTTATATGTATTAGTTACTAAAAAAGCACAAATTAATATGATAATTACATAAAAAATAGATTTTATAATATATTTTAATTTGAAAGAATAAAATTGTTAATAATATTTTTTACCAACATAATTAATGACATATAAGATAATGTAATTAATAAATAATTAATATTTGTGTATATATATTTATAAAATATAAAATTAAATATGCTTATAAAAAATAATTGAGGGGTATTAAAGTCATATTATCATTGAGATATACTCTGACAGGCATAATCATACTCTCCAATTTGAGTCAGAAGCAGAATGAATTCATTTTTTTTGAAACCATCCAAAATCATGGTTTTGAATCTAAAACTATGATTTTAACCCCAAACCATAGTTTATCAATTTTACCTCCTGTTTGACAACTTTTTTTTCCTAAATCATGGTTTGGGATGTTACCCAAACTTAAGAGAAATCACAGGCAAGGACCTCCCTAGCACTATATTCGCATGGGAGAGTTCCTAATTTGAGAGAGTTTTATTATTTGAGCTTTACGACTAAATTTCTGTATATAATTTACATTTCCAACTAAACACCAAGCTTCTATAGTGTCAGCCAGCATACTAATTTTTTTTTCCCCCCCAACTCAGGATCTTGGGTGCAAATATGTTTTCACCATGGTTCCTGAATGTGATTTTCCTTTCACAGCTAGTATCTCTACCTTATGTGCTCAGCCCTATTTATATTTAATACTCATCTGTTCTTTAATACAAGACCTATTTAATTAATCTGATCAGATTAAAAAAGTCAGATAAGTTAGTTAATTGTAAGAAATATGATATGTTTTTTTTCTAAAATATCATAATCATCTTTTTTAATATCCTACTACTCTCTCTTACTTGATTATCATTAAAAAAGTATCAATAGGAGTAATTTAAAAAAAAAAGATACATATAAGAAATAGGTCTTATATTTAGAACCAAGATCAGCTCAACAATTAAGTTATATATTAAGGACTAGAGGAGTATTCGCAAAACGTCTCAACTTTTCTTGATTAATTTTGTGTTTTTCTCTCATTTTTCGCTTATCATAATACTCAATATGTTTAGGCTAAATGATATATTGGATATTTTAACTTTGTATAATATTTTAATTTGGTCCTTTTATTTTTAAAAGTATATTTTTGTTAATTTATCTCTAAAATCATTAGGTCTAAATAATGCTTTTTTGTAACAATTATAATTGTTTTGAGAATTAAACTTAATATGTTGGTATTTAAGAATATTTTATTAAATATAATATCTCAATACTATCATTTCTTGTTAACAATTTTAGGGTTAGAAAATTAAAAGTATACTTTCTAAAATAAAAAAAACTAAACTGAAACATTGTACAAACTTAAACGACTAAATGCATATTTTACCGATATATTTATTATATCATTTTCTGAAGTATTATTCATTTTATTTTTATAATTTCCTTATACTTTATCTCTCCTAAATTTAAGAAAAACTTAAAATTTTTGTATATTTTTCTTCTTTAACTAATTTGAACTTACTTTTTGATCGATTCACGTCTTAAATCTCTCCCCTAAAAAGAGACACAGCGGGTGTCTATTTTTATTCAACTTTTTTAAGGTGGCGCATTAAATAATAACGCATCTAGAGGAATATGCACTAGCAGTTTACCACTTCATTCAATTTCAGCAAACAATAATATAATTATAAACCGAGTCACAACAAGTTAGAAAAGTTCTAGAAGATCATCACACAATTGATAAAATAAAAATAAATTAAAATAAAGTTATAGAAATAAAACTACAACACAAAATTTGGGGGTCAAGCATTAGGAAAATAGGACCACGGAAGGAGTTTAATAGTTGAAGAGGACTAATATACTTTCTAAATTTTTTTTTGTAGGAACTTAGAATGAAATTCAAAATAAATTTGCATGAAAAAAATGACCAAAATATCATTGTTTATTAAAAAAAAATCTATAACAAGGCCAAAAATTTTTTTTTTTTAAAAAATCTATCCTCAACTGGTTTTGCTGGTGGCCAGACCATCGGCGTTGGCCGCCAAAGCCCTGTAACTGGTTGCTCAGTGTGGTTATGGGATTTGAACGCGCACTAAAAGAATATTAAACTACTAGCACTAAGTCACCAATGTTTCTTTAATCATACAATGCAAAATTTTATATGCTAAAAATTTAATTTTAATTTTCAAATCGTTTACTTTTCAAATGCTTAAATCATCAACGTATTATTTCATTAATGTTTGTCTGTTAAATTATTAAGGAAAACTTATCCAAAAGGTTCTAGATTATAAACTTGTCTATTAAGGTCAAATTTACTACCTCCGCTCCGGAGGTAGCACTTTTCAATTTATTAAAAGAAACTTATCAATTAAGTTCAATTTTTTTAATATAATACAATTAAATGTATTTATGCGAATAAATATGTTAATGTTACGCTCAAATCTATCATCCCATTTAAGCGTGGCAGGTGGTGTTGTTGTTGAGACAACTACTTGTTAACAGATCTCTTAATTAATATTATAGAGAGTATTTGTCACAAGGTTAATTAATATTATAGAGAGTAAACTTGTTTTTTTTTAAATTAAAATTTACTTGTTAAGTTATTAATCTACATTACATGTATGCATATAATTTTATAATAGAGTTCAATGCATCACAATTCAAAACTACACCAATAAATTATTGGTTGATATGGTAACTGTCTCACCCCATCAAGAAGAAAATACAAGTTTGAATCTTATGAAACGCACTTATTGGAAAACTTTAACTGTAACACTCCTTGTTCGATAAAAATTATTCTCAAATTCAAAGTGATGAGACTTTAAGTTTATAGTTAAAAAAAAAGTTCAAAGTTACAGAAATTTACATTTGAAAATCCCGTCTCTTCAATGAAGAAAAACGCAAAATCGCAGGAAGAATGAAGGGGAAAGTTGCAGCTGAAAATGAGTAGAGAAGAAGAAATAAACCTAATATTTTTTTTGATAACATTATGTTACTCCTCCCTTTTTTTTTGGATGAAAATTAATCCTCCTTTTTAGTGTCGGCAAAATCCCCTAGACCTAATATTTTAATATAAAAAAACTTTTTAACATCATAAAATAAAAAAATTCCTCAAATCCTCTAAACCTAATATTTTAATATTAAAAAAATAAAATTCTCCTTACTTTTAAACATCGTAATTCCTATTTACATAAATTTATCAATAATAATAATAATAGAATTTTATGATAACAATCGATTTCAAGTCCAATCAATTGCCGTCATTGATCATTAGTAATTTGTTTTAAAAATTTGCACAAAATAAGATAATATTCAATGCATATTAAAAGGATAATTTATCAATTAAATCCCATAAAGTGTAAAATGGCTTATAAAATAAAATGAAGCTAATTAATCTCAATTAGCCCCAATTCATTAATTAAAAAACCAAGCAAAAAGGAAATGAAAACATATAAAAATATGATTTACTAAATATTATTAAAATATTTATAAAAAATTTGTATCATTTAAAAGTCAGAAGAGTACATTTAAACACTGTCCAAGTTTGCATGAAAGATAAGGATCATGGTCTACTCAGTTTATATTAATATGGTCATGTGCTGCCATCAAAAATTGGCAAGATTTTGGTACAGGCAAAGGAGCTCGAAACAACCATCTTAATTCTCAGAAATTTTCTGAATTCGTAAATTTATTAAGATGAGAAAGTGACACTAACAGGTTCTTAATATGCAAAGTATATGTAACTATAAACTTAATTGTACGGTAATATTTACAAAACCTCATGCTATGTATATATATACAAACTTTCCCAGAAGTGGGGTCAACTTTCTTGCGAAACTTTGAAATTCCTCGTCCAGGTTCAAGTTCTTGGAGATATGTGAACTTGTAATGGATTCTTCATCATCACAGTGAACACCTGTTTCTCAGATAAGTCAACATCACCATTTGAAACCTTCCACTCAAAATTCCAAACCAGATTGGCCACAAAGTACTCCAAATGAAACATTGCCAAATTATAGCCCGGACAGATTCTTCTCCCTGCTCCAAAGGGTATCATCTTTATCTCTTTGCTTCCCGTAATATCAAACACTTCATCTCCATCCTTCTCCATGCTCAAGAATCTCTCTGGCTTAAATTCCATTGGATTCTCCCACACCGTTGGGTCCCATCCCATCTCTGCAACTAAGAAATTTATAGTTCCATTTTTGGGTATCAAGAAACCATTCAATACCACATCCTCTTTCACTGCATGTGGCAGAACAAAATGTGCGGGTGGGTGACGCCTTAGTCCCTCCAAAATCACAGCTTTAAGATAAGGTAATTTGTTCAGATCCTCCTCTTTTACTTCCTTCTCCTTTCTATCTCCCATCACACCTCTAATTTCCTCCACAAGCCTCTCTTGTATATGTGGGTATTTCACTAAATTTGCCATAATCCATTGCAGCGCCGTAGCTGTTGTATCTGTACCTGCATTTATGAACTCTGAACTTACAGAAACAATTTCAGATTCTTCCAGGTTACGCTTCTCCTCTGGCCACTCCAAATCCAGCAAAGTATCCACGTAAGGCACAATAATTCGATCTGAGTTATCACTGTCCTCTGCAGCTCTGGTTAATCTCTCTTCCTTGGCTTTCTTCCTCGCTCTGATCAGTGGAATCAGAACACTTTCCTGTTCTTTCCGAGTCTGGAACAATTCCTGCCACCGCTTGCGGAACAATATGCGAGTGATTCTTGGCCAGAAATTCAGCACCCTGAATCTGTTGAAGCTCAAAAGCACAAGTCGTTGAACATGCTCGATATCGTTAATTTGCTTCTCGTTTAACTTTTCACCGAAGCACATGAACACCAGCAAACAGAACATAGCGTATTGAAGATGGTCAATCACCTTAATAGAATTGGTCGATTCAGAATCAGATTTGAGTCGATTAATAAGCACTTCCAAAACCCATTTACGCGAACCTGAAAAGGATTTAATCCGGTTCGGGTGAAGCATCTCGGAGGTGAGGTTGCGGCGGAGGACGCGCCATGTGGGGCCGTAGAAGGCGGAGCTAATGTCATGTTGCTCGCAGTTAAAAACCTTACTGGTGGGAAGAGCCTTGGGACGGTCAGAGAAAACAGCACCGTTTTGAACGAGGGCTTGGTGGGCGATAGATCGATCAGCTACAAATATAAGCGGACGAGACCTAACAGGAAGAGCGAAGATGGGACCGTATTTGGCACGAAGATTTCGGAGTAACGCTTCGACTTCTAAGAACGATCTGCGCAGAAAAAGAATATTGCTAATGATGGGAATACGAGGAGGACCAGGTGGTAGAGGGGTGGGGCGAGAGGGAGAAAGAAGATTGAAGAAGGCTCGGATGGCAAAGCAGAAACAGACAGAGACGAGGACGATGAACCAGACCTCCATGATTATGGTCAAGAATCAAAGAGGAAGAAGATAAAGTAGTAATGAGTAAAAATGAATAGGTATGCTAAAAAGCATTGGAAATTTAAAGGGATGATCGGGCTAAAGAATTACAGAGAGAAGATAATTGATCCGGAGGGATTGGATTGGACACGGCACATGATAGTTTGACTTTGGCCCTTTCCTGTTTCGTGGTGTCCAAGATGCCGATTATTATGTGACTGATGTTTTGTTTTGTAGTTCACTGATTTTCTCTCACGTGACTCAATAAAGATTGGAACTTTACGAAAAGTCAAAAACTTTTTGGTGAGGCACTCGGAGAAAAAGGAAAATTATTTATACTCTTTGGACATTTCCGAAGGTGGAGCTTAATGTTTGGGAATTCTTAAAAATACTTCTAAGAAGCATTTTTAAGAAGTATTTTTTTATAAAACGAAATAAATTTTTTTATATATTTATTTTATAAATCGTAAAAGTATTTTTAAAACTATAGTTTGGTTTATATCTAAACACTCTTTAAATAAAGGATGCTACCTGTAAAAAATGAAGTCTGAATAAAGGATGCCAAAAGCCCAAGACTGAAATATTTGTACATGAACCAAGTTCCTAGTTGGGGGAACAAATATTCAGCTGGAATGAAAGTAGAATGAACTCTTTTGGAAAATGGATTTGGTACATCCTTTTTTAGAGCAATGCGTCACTTGCAATATCTTTTTCAAATTTATCTGTAAATAGATGTGGAAGGTAGAAAATGATGTGTATATATAATGTGTTAATTAATAATAAATTAACAGTTAAACATGACTGAATTAACTTGCTAAAAATGAGTGATGGTGAGATATTTTAAGTGGAATTATTGTTATATCTTTAAAATGCCCATGTAAAATAGTATCTGTTACTATTAGCCAAAGAAAGGAAACAATTTGGTCTCTATAAGAAGTAAGACTTTAGAATTTACAAGTTACTTTCTAAAATTTCAGAATTCTTCCTTTGTAATTTTTATCTCAAAAATAAAATGTAAAATTTTTCCTTTTTCCCATTCTGTTCTGTGATGATTTATACGTTCCATTTTAGAATTAATAAATCAAAATCTAAAATTTACGATTAAACATCTATTTCTTTCTTAGATAGCAGGAAACTAAAAGAACATTTTTAACATTTTTGTCATTTCTTATATTTCAGATATGATAGCCATGTTAATTGGATGTAATTTATCAAATTTGTAATCTATACATTTCATACGTGTGTGTGTGTGTGTGTGTGTGGTACCCAAACTCTTATCTCAGAGTAATGAAAGTCACATACTATGTACTGCTAAAAATTGGTGTGAGGTTTTGACCAAGGCTAGCAATATAATCTTAATCGTTTCTTGCGATAAAAACATCATTGCTCTGTTTGCTCTGTCTATAATGGAATGCAACATAATATGAGATAACATCAAACTGTGCCCATTCATTCATTAAAAAGAACCTAATAACTGTGCATATGTCGCATTCATAGATGAATGTATCTCATCCCTTGATCTACAGGAAGAAATTGCTACCAAATTTGATATTCACACAAACTCCACAAGCTACTTGCTTTATGAAGTTCACGTAAAAGCCACAAACTTGGGAACAATATCCATATAAGTCACCTACATGGACCATTAATTCAGTGTCAGTATAAAGGATGAATCTGATGTGTTCCTCTTACATGTCTAGATCTAAAACCTCGGCCACAAACGAACTTGTAATGGATGTTTCATTACTGTTGTGAATTCTTCTTTCTCTGACAAATCAACATCGTCACAAGCTTTCCATTCAAAATTCGATACAAGATTGGCCACATAGTATTCCAAATGAAGCAGTGCCAATAGGTAACCTGGACACATTCTTCTTCCTACACCAAAAGGCATCATCTTTATCTCTTTGCTTCCTGTGATATCAAATGTTTCCCCCTCATTTTTCTCAGTGCTCAGGAATCTCTCAGGCCTGAACTCCATTGGATTCTCCCACACCTTTGGGTCCCACCCCATCTCTGCCACCATAAAATTTAAAGATCCGTTCTTGGGCACCAAGTAATTATTGAAGACCAGGTCCTTTGACACTGCATGTGGCAACACAAAATGTGAAGGTGGGTGGCGTCTTAGTCCCTCCAAGATCACTGCTTTAAGATACGGCATTTTGCTCAGATCTTCTTCTTTCACTTCCTCGTGCTCTCTCTCACCCAATACATCTCTTATTTCATCCACAAGCTTTTGTTGAATATGAGGGTACTTCACTAAACATGCCAAAGTCCATTGTAGTGCGGTAGATGTTGCATCTGTTCCTGCATTTAGAAACTCTGAACATATGGAAACCATTTCACCTTCACTTAGCTTTCTTTTCTCCCCATGCCATTCCAAATCCAACAAAGTATCCACATATGACACTATATTTTCATCTGTCTCATTATTATCATCATTGTCGTTATCATCATCGTCATCAGCTTGTTCTTGGTTTAATCTCTCTTCCTTCAGTTTCTTCCTTGCTCTTATCAGTGGAATCAAAACATCTTTTTGCTCCTGCTTAATCTGCAAGAACTTCTTCCACTTGTTGCGGAGCAACACTCGAGTAATTGCTGGCCAGAAATTTAACATTTTGAATCTCTTAAGACTCAAAAGTATATTCCTTTGAACGCGTTCTATGTCTTTGATTTGCTTGTCGTCTAATTTGTCACCGAAGCATAAGAACACGAGCAAGCAGAACATAGCATATTGGATATGGTCTTTCACTCTAACGGGATTGCTGGATTTTGAGTCATCTTTTAGTCGAGTCACTAGCAAATCTAAAACCCATTTACGGATGCTCGAGAACGATCTGATTCTAGCCGGGTGAAGCATCTCGGAGGCGAGGTTGCGACGGAGGAGGCGCCATATGGGGCCGTAGGAGGCAGAGATAATGTTGTGTTGGTCGCTGTTGAGGATCTGCTCGGTGGCGAGGGCCTTGGGACGATCGGAGAAGACGAGGCCGTTTTGAATGAGGGCTTGGTGGGCCATAGACCGATCGGCGATGAATATAGCAGGACGAGAGCCGATCGGGAGAGTGACGATGGGTCCATATTTGGCATGAAGCTTTCGAAGAATGGGTTCGAGTTCGCTGAGTGATCTGCTCAGCCATATGAGATTGCCGATGATGGGGACCCGGAAAGGACCAGGAGGGAGAAGAGAGGAAGAAGATGAAGAAGGAGGAGGAGGAGAGACAAGATTCAAGAGACCTCTAATGGAAAAACAGAGACAGATTGTGGCAAAGACGATCAACCACAACCCCATGATTATGGTTGGGAGAGCATGAACCAGTAAAAAGCTTTGGCTTTAGCCCTTAATCGGAGAAATCTTGGACCAAGCTTTGTACCACGTTTGTGCAAAGATAAATATAGCAAAGTCTCATATGTGGTCGTGGCTTACAGTGCCAACACACTTCAACGAAGACAATTTCTTGTGCTGCTTAGTTAACAAAATGCAAAAATGGACCCATAATTACATTAAAGTGATAATGAAAATTTTATATCACATAGGAGAGGAAGGTGATGTTGAACTAGTATATATATGTATAATCTCTCATACACATATTATATATGTGGGATTGTATATCCTCTGTTTTTTCCTACACAGATAATAAGCCATAGCTGAAATAAGGCTTCAAACGACACCGCTAAAAGTAAGCACAGACAGATTTGCTACTACTTCCGGTTTTAATTATAAGACTAATTACAAGTTCTTATAATTTGGACCGGAGGTAGTGTTCAATATGGAAACTGAATCTGAAGAAACCAAAAAGCCACTATCTTGGGCCTAGTCTTATAGTACATGTGCCACAAAATGATGTCTCTATGTGAATAAAAGCACGGAGATCATGTTCCCAGACTTCATCACCTCCATAACACACACAGCCATATAATCACCTCTATAACACAGAAAGCCATAACTTGATTGATCTCAAGCCCTAGGAGATACAGAGACTTGTAATGGATTTTCCATCACTACAGTGAATTCTTCTTTCTCTGTCAGATCAACTTCGGCTCCATTTGAAGTTCTCCATTCAAAAGTCCAGATCAAATTGGCCACAAAATATTCCAAAAGCAGCATAGCTAGATTATAGCCAGGACACATTCTTCTTCCTACCCCAAATGGCATCATCTTTATCTCTTTCTTCCCCGTGATATCGAATGCTTCTCCATTTTTCTCACTGTTCAAGAATCTCTCCGGCTTGAACTCCATAGGACTCTCCCACACATTAGGGTCCCAACCCATCTCTGCCACCATGAAGTTGACAGTCCCATTTTTAGGCACCAAATAATTGTTGAACACTACATCTTCTGATACTGCATGAGGCAACACAAAATGTGCAGGAGGGTGACGCCTTAAGCCTTCCAAGACCACAGCTTTCAGATATGGCAATTTACTCAAGTCTTCCTCTTTCACTTCCTTTTCCTCTCTATCTCTCATCACCTCTCTGATTTCTTCCACAACCCTCTGTTGAACATGTGAGTATTTCACCAGATTCGCCATAATCCATTGCAGTGCTGTGGATGTTGTATCCGTTCCTGCATTTATAAACTCAGAACACAAAGACACTATCTCACCTTCATCAAGCTTGCGCTTCTCCTCAGGCCACTGTAAATCCAACAAGGTATCCACATATGGCACTATAACTTCAGCATCTGGTTTATTAATGTTTTCCTCCTTGGCTTTCTTTCTCGCTCTGATCAGTGGAACCAGAACATCTTCCTGTTCCTTCCGAATTTGCAGCAATTCTTCCCAACGCTTATGCAACAATATCTTGGTGAGTCTCGGCCAGAAGTTAAGCACGGAGAATCTGTCAAAATTCAGAAGATAACGCCTCTGAACATACTCTATATCGTTAATCTGCTTATCATCTAGCTTCTCACCGAAACACATGAAGACTAGTAAGCAGAACATAGCATATTGAAGATGATCAATGACCTTGATGGACTTTCCTGATTCTGAATCAGACCTGAGGCGGTTGAGAAGCGCGTGCAAGACCCACTTCCTGGTGCCCGAGAAGGATTGGATCCGAGAGGCGTGGAGCATCTCGGAGGCAAGATTCCGGCGGAGGAGGCGCCATGTGGGGCCGTAGAAGGCAGAGGTAACGCTGCGTTGATTACTGTTGGTGACCTTACTGGTGGCGAGAGACTTGGGGCGGTCGGAGAAGACGGCGCCGTTTTGGATCAAGGCTTTGTGGGCGAGGGATCTATCAGAGATAAACACAGAAGGACGAGAGCCTATAGGGAGAGTGACGATGGGACCATGCTTGGCGTGAAGGCTTCGGAGAATGGGTTGGAGTTCGGTGAATGATCGGCGAAGCCAGACAACAGAGCCGATGATGGGAACACGAAGGGGACCAGGTGGGAGAGGAGGATGGCGGGAAGTCTTGGAATGTAAGGAAAAGAGAAGTGTGATCAAGAGGCAGAGAGAAACAGAGAGGAGGACGATGAAGATGAACCAGACCTCCATGATTGATTACCGGGAAGCTCCACCAAGAGTTGATATCTTTGAAGACATTTGTCTGGTGGTTAGACCTTTTATATCAGTCCGTTGACGTTGAGTGCATAATTTCTCTGCGTCCTGGTCATTTTGGCCAGCGTTTCTCATTCTATTAGTCATTTTTTATTACTGGAATTTTGCACAAGCACTTTGATTTTACGTAAAATTTTAATTTAGTCTCATCACTTTTTCAATCTTTTAAACTTAAAACCGTTAATTAAAAAATAATGATACTAAAATTTTAAATATTAATAAAATATTAATTTTAATTTTAAAAAAATGCGTTCAAATTGTCATTTAGCACTGATAATTTTAGCATCAAATGACTAAAAACATACTTTTTAAAATTAAAAAATAAAAATAAAATATTATATATAATTAAAAAATCAAATGTATACTTGAATTCACTTATTATTTTTTATGAGTTAGATAATTAATTAATGAAGAATTTGATGTAAATATTTTCCTTTTAAACTATATGAGTCAATTCTTTGAAATACTCTCATAATCATTTATATTGAAAATAATTTTATTGGAAAAATTCATTTTATACTCATAATTAATAGTAGACCAATATTTTTTAAAAAAATTATCAAATTTTAGATTTATAATCAAAATAAATAATCTTATTAGCACTTATATTTAAAATTAAAGGAAGTATAATATTTTAAAAAAAAAGAAATTACATTTATTAAATTGTTGTATAGTGGGAGAGTGGAAGTATTAAAATTAGTGAGAGAAAGCGTCAGAAGTTTGAGTTTTCTTCCAAGTCGGGGCAGTGGGATGGGAAATGAATATGAGTATGACTCTTGTTTTGTCTCTTTCCTTGGGAAAGGGGCAACCGTGGCTGCGCAATGGCATGGTCGTAAACGTAATTATCAATTGTTTCATCATTCCATTAAAATTATAATAACAAGTAAATTCATTAATTTTTTAATAAATCATATACCTATTTAATTTTTATTAAAATAAATATAACAGTTAGTTATAATTGTTTTTGTGCATTACATGTAACAAATAATGAGCATGTAAACAGGATTTTAATACATTAATGTGGCGTGTATAAGATTTCATGAAAAATACAAATGGATATGGAATATAAATATAAAATTTGAAGAAATTAATTAACTACTCGTATAATTTAAATATATCTGCTTCATTCCACGTGGATGAGTCGGGTCAAAGACTCAAAGTTCAGTTTTATCTAGAACTCTATCAGGGCCCCATTCAGCTTCATCAATTGATAAAGAATGAATAAAATGACATTAAGAAATAGGGAGAATTATTATAATATAGCAGCCTATAATAATAAATTTTAAAATAATAAATCATAACTACTCGCTTGTCATTAGAGTTTATTGATAATTTTTTCCACACCTCGTTACAATTCTCCTTAACATGTATTTTGGTCAATAATCACAAGGGAAAAGGTAAAATCAGACCAATAATGTTTCTAGAACATTTGAAAGCAAGAAAAATCACGCAAATAATTTTTTTTGGAAATTAGTAGTGTAAAATATAATAAGAGTACTGGCAAAAAGAGAAAAAAAAAAAAGATACTACCTCTAATTTTAATTATAAAACCCCATTTATAACTTACAAATAAGGTTTTATAATTAAGATTGGAGGTAATATAATAAGAGTAACACTAACATGGAGGCCTGACCCGGTGGAAGCTTCAACTGAAATAAAATAAATATCCCTGAAATACCACCATTTCCTTGCATTTCTCCCTCCTGACTCCTCCAAGTCAACTTTCTTGTTATCCACAAATTAAATTAAATTATGAGTAAAACCAAAAAAAAAAAAAAAGAAATCTGGATGGATTTTTTTAACTCTTTATTGTATATTCTATTAATGACTTGTACGAATGAAAAACGTTTAAATTCATGAGGAGGAAAATCAAAATGATTCTGCCTTGTTGCAGTCAGTGGAAGTTAGAGCTTTAATTTGTAAAAAGCATTATCTGTATTCTGTGTATGTGTTCTTTTACAATACAACAGTCTTGTCCATGCCTCCAAGGTTCAATCTCTTAATTATATGTTCGATCTTATTGCTATGTCTCACAATTTGATCTCACTCAATGGAGGCCTCTATATTGTGCGACTTCTATTTATGGTGCCCTCCCTCCCTCAGAGTTTGGATACAACATAATGGAAGACCGTTGGTTGTCTCGCTACTTTACTTGGCGAACTGTTTTAGGGATGGCTCCAAGCATCTTTTGTTGATAATGCTATTTTAGTTTATGATTTACAAAATAAATATGTCAGAAGGGTTTTAACATGGTATTCCCTCCATCCCTTATTATAAGATCTTTTTAACTGAATTATCCAGTTTAAGAAAACAGTTAAAATTAATTAAAAACAATTAATATGTAATAAATGTATTTTTTTAAATATATCCCTATATATAAATGGGTAAATGTGAGAGAGTAATAATCAAATAAATGAAGAAAGAAAATGTGTGAAATACATTAAATTAGAGGTACAATAGTTAATGATGTATTAAATGCTCAGAAAAATTCAAAAAAGATCTTATAAAAAAATAAACCTATTTAAAAAAATTAGACCTTATATAAAAAACAGAAGGAGTAGTAGTTAAGTGCTGTTGAGCCCAAAATAAACACGACCAGGCTATGGCTGGCATGATAATGGGCCTTGCGTTGGATCTGACAATAGATTGTTTGCCGTGTGTTATCGTTCCGGGCTTTCTATCAAGTGACTTCGTATCACTTTGTTAGAAGATCTTTTAGACTATTAAGTGTTGATGGATTTGGTCAGAAATCCACTCATGACTTGTAAGTTTATAGATTAGAGGTATGTACTAGTCTTATTCAGCCTCTGAAATCTATCTTATCTAAACTTTTCTTTTTGTAAAAAAATAGAGGATCCTTTCCTTTGTAGTTATCTACCGAAAAAATTGTCTAGTTATAAAAGAAAAAAGAAAAACATTTAAATTATTTTTTCCGTGAAAAATATCCAAAGATATATATTTTTCTTTGTATTTTTTTTGGAAGGGGACTCCCTGTTCCTACTTATCATGGCCTTTTAAAAATATTTTATGGTCCTATATTTACAAATCACTTTAAAAAACTACGAAACAATTAATATGTGTGTCAACAATATTCTTGATATTAATAACTATATTTATGGTGCAGAGAGGGATTAAGAGAGAGCTGAATAAAATTAATAAAGAAAATGCAAGGGATCCAATTTCATTTTGGAAGGATTCATCTTACGTGTGTACATTGGCCATACGTCATATCACGCATACATTCATATTTTAATTCTTGCATTCTTAATTGTATACTCCCTCCAATTCAATTATTATTATAAAAAAGACTTTCAACATGTTTCATAATATAACATGTTTTACTCAAAACACTAATTTTTTTGGGAAAATGACAAATACATACTCCTGAATTACCAAAATTACAAAAAAGTCATCTGAATAAGTCAAATTACCAAGAGGGACCTTATCTCAAATTGCAATTAGCAAATCATACCTAAAAGACTAAAATACCCTTTAGTTATTCAGATTCAATAATGAAGGCATAAACTGGCAAGAGACCTCTTTTTTCCTTCTTCTCTTCGGACTTCCTCTCCCTCTCTTCTTCTTTCTCTTTCTTCCTTAGGTCGAAGCTGTTAGGATTATAGTTTTGATGATAACAAAGTTAGATTAATTGAGTTAAGTATGTTGATCGATCATCTGATCGATCAAACGTTTATCGCTAAGGTTACAGATAATTGTTCAGGTGTAAATCAGTTTTATAGTAGGTATTTTGATCGAAGAACTATTCGATAAATGGTTAATTGATAAAATGATCGATTATCGCTAACATGGAAATCACACAAGGTTACCGTTAATTATCGATCACCTGATCGATAACATCAGATAAACAATCGAGTTACTCATAAAGAGAACCAAATCTGAAGTGCATTTATCGATCACATGATCGATAAATCAGTTATCAATAACGAATTCGATAAAAGGTAACACTCTACTCGTTCTGTATATTAATTCTGTTATCCATCATATTTTCGATCATTTATTTATCAAACACATAATCGAACATTATGCTCTAACTTTCTGGATGCAGGAAGCCATCATAACTGCTGAATCGATAACATTATCGATCAGAAAGTTATCGATCACATGATCGATAATCAATGTTTTTATCTGCTCATATTTAGTTTTTCTGCAACCAAATTATCGATAACATTATCGATAATTTAACTTGTCTGCATAATATCTTTTCACATAACTTGATCGATAAAGAGTCTAAGGATTGCTATCTTCGCATTAACTTATGTTGAACCATTTTTTCGATCACCTAATCGATCATTGACTTTTCGATAATATGATCGATCATCCAATTTCCTGAAACTCATGTTTTCACAAAACGTGATCGATAATCAGTTTCTTTACCTTACAGGATTAAATTTCTTTTCTCACTTTATCGATCACTTGTTCGAATATTCATTGATCGATCACATGTTCGATCATTTCAGATAGTCTGTGTCTTTTGCTGAATATATTCATACTCATGGTTTATCGATAACCTTATCCATCATCCATTTATCGATAAGTTGTTCGATCATCAATGACTGAAGTTTTATTTCTGTAACATTTGAATTATCGATAATATGTTCGATCAACAAGTACTCAATCACTTGTTCGATCATGGAACAATTTCCATTTACTATGATAATTCTTAAAATCAATGATCCAACACTTGATCGATAATCATGTTGAACTAATTCAAAAGCTTTCCCTCAGTTTATCGATAACCTGATCGATCAACAAGTAATCGATCACCACTTCGATTAAGCATGTCCAGGATCTCTTTCTGATATTTTTACAGATAAATTATTTCATCTAGAATCATTGTATAATCGATTCATTTTTCTTCTTAGTTCATGACCAAAGCATACATCGCAAATCTTTTACTTGTTCAAAGTTTAAAATATACAGATCACTAAGAAAGACTGCAACGGCTCTTCAACGGGATTACGTAAACTACAACCTACAGTGTCAGAAGCTCAGACTCATTAATGGCGGAACCGTTGAAACCGGCGAAACACGCAAACGGAGTCACAACGGCTAGAAGTTCTTCCATCTAACGGCTACTTAACGATCTCAACTATAAAAGGCGCGAAGAAGCATTAATGAAGGGATTGAATAGCGGAACTACCACCTGTGATTATTAAGCCTAGCATTCAATACTCTGTTTTCCTCAATACTACTGAGCGTCAGTGTTCATCATTAAATTCACTCTGTAAGAGAGTCGATAACTACTCTTCATTAATTACTATTGAGTGATACTCAAGAGTGTGGACTCTTGAGAGGGCCTGTATCCTTACAGGAGTAAGGGGGAGTGATTGAGCGATTCAATTACTGTACCGAGGCACCAAGAGCCCTGTCGATCTTGGAAGATAGTGAAATACTCAGAAGTGTTCTGAGGACTGGACGTAGGTCAAGTGGTTAAGACCGAACCAGTATAAATCTTGTGTCTTCCCTCTGCGGTGAAATCTCTCCTGACTCTGACTCTCTGTTTTCAATACTGTCTCGTTTTAATTTTAAAATTTTTGTAACTCACCCAATTCACCCCCCTCTTGGGTGAGATTGATTCTAACAGAAGCGGCGTTTTCTTTGGGTCTCCTCCATGGCGAATCGTGTAGTGAGGGGCGAAGAGGGCTTTTGCAGCTCCTTGCGTAGGATATCGGCGGGTGAAGATAGGAAGGTGGCCAGTGACAGTGGAATGGAAGATTTGGGACAGTTTTCTACAATTCTGAAATAGGGAGTGATTGCGACCTTTTTGTTGAACAACGGCGGTCAACCTTATGGATCATTTTCTCTGTTAGCAAAGAAGAAGAAGGCTGAGTTCTCTAAGCTGTTGATGGAAGCTACAGGGTTCGTTGGTTTGAATATTTTACAGATTTTGAAGATGGTGTGGTTGAATACTGTCTTCTTTTTGTTTACTTGTATTTGGGAATCGATAATCTCCTCATTTGATTTAGAGTTGCCGGTTGCTGTCAAAACACCTCTGGTTTTTTGTTATTTGACTTAATATTGTTGTAATTTTACTTAGTAGTGTTGTAACTACAGATTGGTTAGTTTGATCACAGCAACATAGCATGACAATCTGAAAATGTTGGTGTTTTGTTTATGGGCAGAGCAATGTTAACATTTAGTATTTATAGTTGTAAATGGTATCAATGTAAATCCATGTAATGTTCTGAAATTTATGACAGACCTCCTCACATATTTATTATTTCACTTACCACAGTTGTTATTTGGCTTTCTACTTTTATCAATTAATTTTCACAACTTGTCATTCGCCTTACTCAACTTGTCATAAATTACAAATCAGAACTTGTCATCTGCTAAAGAAATATGAAAATTCTGTCATTTGAAAAGAGAAAATTAAATTTTTATAAATTTCTTATTAGAAGTTGTCATTCGCCTTACTAAACTTGTCATTCATCTTACTCAACTTGTCATTCGCCAAAGAAATCTAGAAATAAATGTGTTGAAGGGAATGTAACGATCACCATTATTGTGATGATAGAAATGCAGTAACAGAAACATAGAATTTGTTAAATTACATCCACGTTGGTGGATATTTTGAAGCAAGTGATGAAGGGGAAGTTGAATATATTAGAGGGAATATAATGATCACCATTGTTGTAATTTCGCTTGCTAGTGTTGTTAATGCAGAATTTTAACTATTATGACAACAATGCAGTGATAGAAACACATGACAATCTGATAATTATGGTCTTTTTATATTGTGTAGAGCAATGTTAACATTTTTTGTTAATCAGTTCTATATTGTAACATTGTAGAGCTATTTAATGTTATCCACTTAATTAGAAACGTGGTGACAGAAATGCAATGACAGAAACACAAAAATTCTATCATTTGCCTTACTAAACTTGTCATCTATTAAAGAAATCTAAAAATTCTATCATTTGAACAAAAAAAATTAAATTCGTATGAAATGCTTATCAGAAGTTGTCATTTGCCTTGCTAAAATTGTTATTTGCCTAACTAAACTTGTCATAAATTGCTTATCAGAACTTGTCATCTGCTAAATAAATCTAGAAATTGTCACTTGAAAACAGAAAATTAAATTCATATGAAATGCTTATCAGAAGTTGTCATTCGTCTTACTAAACTTGTCATTTATTAAGGAATTGTGCAAATTGTCATTTTAATGTAGAATCTTAAATTCCTATGAGTTGCTTATCAGAAGTTGTCATACATCTTACTAAACATCCTTGGTGAATGACAAGTTGAGTAAGATGAATAACAACTTCTGATGAGCAAGTCATAAAAATTTAATTTTCTCTTTTCAAATGACAGAATTTTCATATTTCTTTAGCAAATGACAAGTTTTGATATGTAATTTATGATAAGTTGAGTAAGGCGAATGACAAATTGTGAAAATCAATTAACAAGAGTGGAAACTCAAATAACAACTATGGTAAGTGAAATCATAAGTCAGTGAGGAGGTTTGTCATGAATTTCAGAACATTAAATGGATCTACATTGATACCATTTACAATTATAAATACTAAATGTTAATATTGCTCTGCCTATAAACAAAATACAACATTTTCAGATTGTCATGCCATGTTGCTATGATCAAACTAACCAATGTATAGTTACAACACTACTAAGTAAAATTACAACAATAGTAAGTCAAATAACAAAAAACCAGAGGTGTTTTGACAGTAACTAACAACTCTAAATCAAATGAGGAGATTATCGATTCCCACATACAAGAAACAAAAAGAAGACAATATTCTTGACAATTGAACAACACTATATCAAAAACATATCTGGAAATGAAAGTTGAAAGTCATCAACTAGCATTAATGATGGGTCACCATCTTTTTTGTAATAAAGATTGGTGGGAATAGCCACAACCTTAATCATATTGATAAATGCATAGGCGGGAGATGAATATCTTTTAGAAGGAGAGGAATAGAAGGAAGAAGAGAGGGAGGGAGATGAAGAGGGAGAGAAGGACAAGACGGAGGAAAAGAGAAGAAGGAAAGAGAAAGAGATGGGGTGATGGAAGAAAGAAAATAAAGGCATTTCTGTCTTTTCAGCCTGATTTCATAATTATAATTTGAGACCGGGTCCTTCTTAGCAATTTGACTTATTCAGGTGATCTTTTTGTAATTTTAGTAATTCAGAGATCTTTATTTGTCATTTTCCCTAATTTTTTTCCGTTTAGCCTCCCTTACTAATTATAAATAGGCAAAATTTTATAAAAAGAACCCTTAAATTATCATATACCAATTCAAGCTAAAAGTGACAGAAAAGGAAGTGTTACTTGATATGGCATTTTACAAATACAATTAAATGACTAAAATGCCCTTATATCAAAAAGTTTATTAACAAATTTTGAACTTACAATGACAAATATTAAATAACAAATGACAAAAAATGTATTTGCAATGACAATTATTTTATTAAATTTCTGCAAATCATCAACCATATTCTTAAAAACTTGTAATACCCGATTCGTTCAAAAATGGGTTGGGTATGATATTATGATATTTGAATATATTCAACTAATAAGATTTGAATAATATTTTGATTAAGATTTGGGTATATTGAATGAAATAAGGAGTATCATGATTAAATGAGATTTTAATTGGAGGTTCAAATAAAGAAATTAATAATTAATTTTGAATTTAGATAATATCTTAATTGAGATTTGAATATATTGAATTAAATGAAAAGCATCATAATTAAATAATATGTCAATTGGGGGCTTAAATAATAAATAAATAAATAAATTTAAATTTTCATATTTTTTCCTAAATTCCACATTTCTAATTCAAATCCAATTTGAATGAATAAAAAAACATATTCCTATAACAAGTAAATCTTGAGATATCTTAAATAATACAATTTATTAGAATTTAAAATCTAATCAAATTTTTTAGCCCATGTATCATACAGAGGAGAAATTTCTAATTCCAATTATATTCTGTTTAATACAATTAAGATTAGGAGAAATTATAAAAAAAGACATTGGAATTGCAAAAACACAGATAGGGACCATTGACAACTTTACTTTGGGTTTTGACAACTTCAGGGCATATTATTCTTGTCAAAACCCAAAGTGAAGTTGTCAAGGGTCCCTATCTACATTTTTACAATTCTAAAGTCTTTTTTTACAATTTTCTCTTAAAATTATATATCGAAAAATTCCAATATGGAAATACTAAAAGAAAATCGTACAATGGTACAGTTCACAAACATGACTTCTTTATTCCATATCACAAAAGGATATTATATTTGAAGACTAATTAACTCTAGCAAGCCATAAATTGCTTTTAAATATAGAACAATTTGTACTCTTAAGTACATTTCGTTACTTTAATGATCTAAAAATCAAAATGCATGGTGTTCATACTTTATATGGTGATTTGCAGAAAACCTACCGGGTCCTAAAATCTTGGGGATAGAGAGACGAGCAATGGAGTTTTCATCATCATAGTGAATTCCTGTTTCTCAGACAAATCAACATCTCCGTCTGGGGATTTCCACTCGAAATTCCAAATCAGATTGGCCACAAAATATTCCATATGAAGTATGGCCAAGTTGTTTCCTGGGCACATCCTCCTTCCCGCTCCAAACGGCATCATCTTTATCTCCTTCGTCCCTGTGAAATCAAACGCCTCCACCTCATTCTTCTCGCTGTTCAGGAATCTCTCTGGCTTGAACTCCATTGGGTCCTCCCACACCTTCGGATCCCAACCCATTTGGGCCACCATGAAATTCACAGTTCCGTTCTTGGGCACCAGGTGATCATTCAGAACCACGTCCTTCGTCAGAGTGTGGGATCAGAACTCGACCGGGAGGGTGACGCCTCAAGCCCTCCAGGATCACGGCCTTCAGATACGGAAGCTTGCCTAAATAAGCTTCATTCACCATCCTTTCCTTTGAGTCTCCCATCACAGATTTGATTTCGTCGTAGAGGCGCTGTTGGAGCTGCGGGTACTTCACCAAGTTGGCCATGATCCATTCCAGTGATGTGGCTGTGGTGTCTGTTCCAGCAGTCAGAAACTCCGAAATCAAATTGACGATTTCGTCTTCTTCAAGCTTTCGCTTCTCCTCAGGCCACTCTAAATCCAGCAGAGTATCCACGTATACGACTTCGCCTTTATGAACCTCTTTGGCTTTGCTCAGTCTCTCTTCCTTGACTCTCTTTCTCGCTCTGATCAGAGGAACCATCACGTCGGCCTGGTTCTTCCGTAGTTGCATGAACTCATCCCATCGCCTTCGCAGCAGTATCTTGGACATTCTTGGCCAGAAATTCAGCATGACGAATCTGTTGTACCTCGAAAGAATAGTACGCTGAACATGTTCGATCTCGTCGATTTGCTTGTCGGATAGCTTCTCACCGAAACACATGAAAGCTAACAAGCTGAAGATCGCGTGATGAATATGGTCCCTGAGTTTGATGCGATCGGAGGAATCATGATGAGCCCTAAGGTTTTGAACGAGCATGTCGGCCACCCACCTCCGAGTGCTGCAGAAGGATTTGATCCGGGCCGGGTGGAGGATCTCGGAGGTGAGGTTAAGGCGGAGGGCACGCCAGGTTGGGCCGTAGCGGGAGGAGGTGATGTTGTGTTGGTGAGCGTTGATGATCTTGCCAGTGGCCAGGGCATCGGGACGGTCACTGAAGACTGCGCCGTTTTGAACAAGGGCTTGGTAGGCGAGGGATCCGTCGGCTATGAAAATAGCAGGAAAGAAGCCGACGGGGAAGGTAATGATGGGGCCGTACTTGGCATGAAGACGAAGAACAAGAGGCTCGAGTTTCTTCAAAGATACGGAAAGAAATAGCAGAGTTCCGAGAATTGGAAGAGGACCCGGAGGAAGACGATGAGATTTATTGAACAGTAGTGAGGGAAAGAGAAGAGTGAGAAATGGCTTCAAGAAAAGGCAGAGAAAGAGAGAGACGAGGACGATGACCCATGCCTCCATGATTGTTGTGGATGTTTCAGACCAGATCACGATGAAGCATGCTCTTCCTTCTTTATTTTGTACCTGACTCCATATGGATATCTTCACCGCTTCTAATTATTGAGGACAGAATTTTTTTCCTTGTGTTTATAAATAATTGGAAATGTAAATAAACTGGTCCTCCTTGGACGCAAAGACTTTTCTCCTCATGCTCATGGTATTTTGAAACCAAAAAAATAATTAATCATTTTAAATAAATTCTAATACTTTTTTTTCGGAAGTTGGCATTGTGTTAGTTTTTCAAGAATAGTTTGAATCATTACTAAATAAAATAATTTTTTTTAAATTTATGGAATTATAAAAATTAAACCTCTTTTCTTATGAATTATAGTAATTTTTTTGCACGAAATTAAAATTATGAAATAGATTTCAAAAATAAGAATTTTGAAAAAGGGTTCAATCAAATTATGATTCCACGTATCACCAAATATAAACAACAAATAATGTTAGTTATACTACCATGTCATAAGCTGCATTCATAATTTCATCGAAATTGACAACTAAAGCTACCCTAACATGCTGAGTCATAGGTTGGACCAAGGTAAGACGCATACCGAACATTATTAATTACACAATCACTAAATTTTCTAAACATGTAGCTGTACATTTTTAAAACTTTTGTATTACTACTTATACTTATAGTCTTAATTATAAAATTTTATTTATAAATTATAAATGAGATCTTATAATTATTACAGGAGTTAATGCTTTGTTTAAGCTCTCCACTACTTGTATGTGCTTTTATAGCTGGACTCGCCTGATTAACTTTCACAATTCTTCTAATAGCATCTTTCACTATCTGATTATTTATTCTCTAATTAGTTACCTCGCAGATGGCATCAGTATGAAATTAGGACTTGTGATTTAACTGGACTTCGAAAATATCGACCTACCTTTTGGATGAGAAGTGACAATAAAAGAGACTTCTTACCGGCAGCTATGGGGGACTGATCTCCCCGCCGTCGTAGGCGACGGGGCTGATGATCTGTGTGAAGGTCGCAATGGCGTTGAGCACTTGAGCCATAATTAACATGATCGTGCCAAAATAAAAAGATTATGAGTAAAATTACATTACTAAGAAGATCGAGATGCTGGGCACAACTGAAAAATAAGATCGAAGATAAAATTGCATTTAGCTCCTTCTTTTTTGTGAGTCTAGACAAATTGAATGGTGCTTTATAAATAATAATTAAAACTACCTCTAGTTCTTAATATAAGAGGTAGATAATCATTTGATGATATTAAGAAAATTAATTAAATTAATTGTTTTTCACAAATATGTGTTAGTCTCCTAAACTATTATTTTTAATCATGTGTATTGGATTATTAGAATTATCTTTTAGTGGAAACCTCTTGTAATCAATTATATGGATATTTTGAGAAAAGATAGGAGACAAAGTTGATTGAGGTCTTAGATTTAAAACTAAATTCAACCCATAATTAGCTCTTATATTAAGAATAGGAGATAATAATATCTATTTAGTTACATTATATATATATATATATATATATATATATAACGTGCGTGTATATAACATAAGACAGAGAAGTTACGAAAATCCTACAATTAAACTAAGGAATTTGGAGTTGGCCGAAAAACCCTAAGGATTTTGGAAATCTTGTAATATCCCTCTCTACTCTCTGGTAGCTGAAATCTAATACTGCCCCTCATTTTTAATATAAGAACTTGTTTAATTTTTATTTTAATTCTAAATATAAGATCTCAATCCACTTTGTCTTTCACATCTATATATTCATTTTTTTTCAAAATAATTTTTATAATAATAGTAGTTCTAACTAATACACTTAATTAGTAAGGATATTTTAGGAAAAACAATACTTATTTATGACAAATAACTAATTCAACTAATTTTTTTAATAAACTTAAATTAGTGAACTAGCTTTTATATTAAGGGTTTAGGTTGAATTCTGCTAGGAGTAATTACTAATTAGAGACAAGATGTTCAAAGATTGAATACAATGATAATCACTTGCAACTCGCGTTTCCTTGACACGAGGGAAAACGAGGATAACGAAGGCGGTGGAATTGTTTTTTTTTTTTAAAAAAAAAAGGCGGTGGAATTGTTTGAAGAACGACACGTCATGCTTTGCCTAATTATTCAGCCTATGCCGCCTCATGTTTAATAAATCTTAGTACTGCCCGGCTCTTAATATAACAACTAACAACTTCTCGAGGGACCAGTTTAATTTTAAATATAAAATATCAATTTTTCTTTTAAATTTATAATTTATTTTGTAAAATATTAATTTTTATTGCACTTGGTAAGGAAATTTCTATTTAAGGATGAACATGATTAAAAATGATACTTTAAAAGACATGATTAAAAATAGTACTTTAAAAAAATTAACTCGTATAGTTGTTACAAATAATTAACCTAACTAATATATTTAATCTATTTAAATTAATTAAGTATTTTTTACATATAGACAGTATTAATTTACTTGAATTATTCTTTCTTCTGCCATTCGATCGCTTTAATGAGACATGCACGATGCATCCTTAAGTGGCACGAAGGAAATCGAGGAGAGAGGAGAAAAAATATTAATAAGTTTAATTTAAAAAATTGAAAAAATGAGGTTAAAATATTTTAATTAATTTTTTTATTCTTTTATCTTATATTTTTTTATCAAAATTTTATAGCCCCACTTCTCTAATTTTTTAAAACGAGCTTATTAAAAAAAAATTTCTCCTTATTTCTATATTTCTCGTATCAAATGCACCGTAAATGCCAAATATTTGGACTTCTTCTAGGAAAAGTACATAGAGTCCAGTAATTATATATACATTTATAAGAAAAGTATTTAAGATCTGACATTCACACTTATGCTGTCAGCTCTGGGCATATCTCTGTTTCTTATTCTCATAGAATAATTCAAAGCCTTATAAGATGGCCTAGTTAATCCAATCACTAATGCCTCGTTTGGTATAACGGAAGAGTTTTTAATGGAAGTGGAAGTGGAAATGGAAGTAGAAATAGAAGTGGAAGTGGAGGTGGAAGTGAGTTCTAAAACATGTTTGGTAGGATGATGGAATTGAGATATAATTTTTAATTAATATATCTTTGTAATAAGAAAATACCAAGATACCCTCAAAAAATATCTCTTCACCTCTCCTTCATCCACGACCAGCGTCCAGAGGAGCATTGTCGGAAAATTTTCTACTGACCAGCAAAGTCAAACTAATGACCAATCAAATTGAAACAAACTCATTCATCAGAAAATCAATCTCAGTTCTTCTCAATCAAACCCAGATTTGTCAAGAACTACAAAAACTAATCCTATATTCAAAGCATCGCAGCATCAAAACAACACAGAGCAATTGCTCAAAAATTATGACCTTTGTCTGTGATGAGCTTCAGCCAAACTAGTGGAGAAGGAGTAGGAGTATACGGAGAGGGACCAAGTTCATTATAGTCACAAATTGACAAGCTGCCACAACGAAGATCTGTAGTGGAGATGAGGCATCAAATCTGGGTTCACATTACTGGACGAGAAGAGAAGTGAAGGACATTGACAACAAAACTGAAGGGAGAAGACGACATGAGCACGAGACCGAAGGGAGAAGACGAGATTGAAGGGAAATGACCTGAGCTCGTGCTTCCGCTATAGCAACGAGGGAGTATACGAGATCAGTGACAAGAAGTGAGATCTGGTGGAGGAGAAGCCATGGAGGAATGCAAAAAAAAAAAAGAGATTAAAGGGGATGCTGGAGGGGAAGGCCATGACCGCTGGAAGTAGATGCCGGAGGAAGACATCGGAGGGGAGGATGGGTGAAAAGGTGGCCGTCGGTCATGGGAGGATAAGAAAGGTGAGGTTATATTATGATGGGTAAGTTTGTCAATTAATAAAACAATAGAGGATAAAATGGTCATAAAATTTCAGTTCTGAGAACTCATCTCAGTTCCATGGAGATAGCCAAGGAACCGAGTTCCATCAAATTTGATGGAACCCACTTCCACCAGGAACCCACTTCACACACACCAAACAGGTTAAATTTGGATTCCACTTCCACTTCCAATTCTTTAGGCCCAATTCCAACATACCAAACGTAGCATAAATGTGCTCAATAGGTTCTTTTAACTAATTCTCGACATCATACCAATAATTGGTGCCCAATGCAATAATCGGCTCAATATGGATCCTTTATTATATATATGCAAAACGGGCTAGATCAGTAAAGCCCAATTGTAAAATAAAACAGATCATAAATGTGGGACAAAATAAAATTACAAGGCCCAACTTTGAGTCCAATTCTTTTGTACAAAAAAAGTCCAGTTCTTAAAAATAGCGTCCCAAAAACAAAAGAATCAAAGCCCTGCATTCTTCAAGGGGGCTAGGTTTTGTCGACTAAGGGTGTGTTTGGATGAAACCAAATCGTAGTTTAAAAAAGTGATTCTGGAGAATAGATTCTGTGAAGAATAGATTCTGGAAAAAAAAAATTTTATGAAAAAGTGATTTGAGAAGTGAGAGTGTTGGATAGTTGTTATTAGAAGCACTTTTTATATATACAAATTACTAAAAAAAAGACACAAGTTAATATGATAATTACAGAAAAAATAAATTTTATGATATATTTTAATTTGAAGGAAAAAATTGTTAATAATATATTTTTTATTAACATAATTAATAATACATAAGATAATATAATTAATAAATAATTAATATGTATATATATTTATAAAATATAAGATTAAATATATTTATAAAAAAATATGTTTATAAAAAAAATAACAAGATACATATCCTATAGGCTCTCACACTCTCCCTTTTTTCTCCAAAAGCAAAAAATTTTTGCTTTTTCTAAAACCATGATTTTGGCCCAAAACCATGGTTTGTGCAAATTGGGTGGGTGTTTGGGTGACTTATCACCCAAACCATGGTTTGGGGTGTCACCCAAACGGTGCCTAATTTTATAATATCTGAGAAAAATTAAATCCAGT